AGATAGCTATACTAAGACTGAACAGGTCGCGCAACACATATGCATACTAAGGTTTCTCCCAGCTAGGCTCCCCTTCCAAATGGTACATTCGAGGCGGTAAACTTGTTCATGTTAGGCAGTTCCTCTTCCATGATGAGAAAAACGTAAACTGGCATGACTTCCTCGACATCTTTAAGGATTCTCATGGTCGAGAGGGTAAATATTACCCGGTTTTCAGGTCGGTCATGCTATCAAATATAAGCGCTAGCCATACCAATCAACATCGCAAATAGATTGGAAATGCTTGGCGGAGTCGTGAACTAGGGCTTTGCCGGATTTATCACGATGGGTGTCAGTACCAGCGTTGAGGTTGACAATTGGTGGAAGGGCTATTATTCGTCGTCATAACCATCTTAATAATACGGTCTACTTAAAACTTCTCCTAAGATTCACAAGAAAGAAGTTGACTTGAGGCGCGACTTTCCAGTCGACACTTTGTTCTCTTTCGCCTGTGAGTGTCCTGATCTCGGCGCAAATTTCGTGTTGAATCTCAGCCTCCCGTAGTTTGTTTGCTAAAGAACTAGTAAGTTGAAGATACTACGTCTTTCTACTCGAGGTCGCCTTGTGACTTGGATGCTTGAAATATTAAAGAGAGTAAGGAAGGGTTCAGTAAAGGCGCCAGTGTGCCGAGATCAGAACTCAGAAGTGTTTTCCCACAGTTCAACATTGTCGTGGTATGTAATAGCGCTGCCTGAGGCGTGGTAATGCGTGTGCGTCATGTGCGTGCATTTACGAAGAGTAAGATTAGCGCTAACTGTCACGCTTCCCAATCAGAACAGAACCATCGCTGTCGACTCTTCACAGCGCTCCCACCATCCATCCTATCCTGCCCTATATCATGGGGCGGAAATGCAAAGGAAAGAAACAGAATGCGGTCTCAAAGGCCCTAAAGTTCATGGTATCATGCCCGTCTTCTTCAGTTTTTCATTAGCTTACCTGATTCTTAGTCTTGGGGTAGCAAAAACAGACAAGCGACCAGATCGACTGCGATCAGCAGAATAAATGAACGTTTACCCAACGAACTCCTAGTATATATCTTTACTACTGCGATTAGCAGCCTGCTTCCAAAAGAGCACCGATCTTTCCTGGCTCTAGTGTGCAGTGTTTGTGGGCATTGGAGGGATGTTGCTATCGAGGCATCCGAGCTCTGGACCACCATTTATATTCATTCCCCAGGACATATATCATCAGCCGAACTCTTCCTTGAACGATCAAGGGCCCAACTTCTGGATGTGGACATCCAGGTCTACCTTGGCCTCTGGAGTTGGTCCTGGAATCCTCCGGTGACTTCCATTGCACAGCGTGGGCTTCGAGTCATGGGGTTGACATCGGACCACCTTTGGCGTACGAGGACGCTTTCGTTGGGCCTCAACGATGCCGAAGACGCCGAAAAACTTTCTGCATGGTATCGACCGCTGTCAGCGCTGCATCTCGTCAGCCTTTCCATCTATATTAAACAGGACTCACGAAGCGCTATCATCTTACTTGATTCTATTTGCTCTATCCGTTCTAGTGGGAGTGAAGGCTCCCCCTCGAACACAATCCCGATCTCTAGCCTCACCAGACTCGAGCTAGCATTTGTTCGGCCTGAACATGAGGATATACGGCGTATATTCGCATGCTGTCCATCTCTAGAAACACTTATCCTGCCGAAATTATGTCATATCCCCGGTGGAATCCGACATGGGAAGAATAAATCCATCGTAACAGCTCCAAGCTCGCTGCGATCTCTCGCGGTTCATATTGACTTTACCCACGAGTTTGAGTATTTCTTCGCGGCAAGATCATTTGATGGTTACTGCGTGTTTCCCGCTCTTCGCTTTCCGAACCTCGAATATCTCGAGGTTCTAGGCGACCACTCTTCTTCCAAAGTTGACCTTAGAGGCCATTTCGAAGACCTACCGAAATTGAAAATACTGCGTCTGCAGCAGTGTTCTGTCTCACCTGCTGATGCACAGTTTTTCTGCTCATTGAAACTGTTGAATCGTTTGGAACTGGTGGACAACTTGGAAGATGCAGCGTGGTCTGATGGACGCAGCCGCAATGCATCCTTTCCATTTCCCCACCTAACGTCCATCCTAATCAGCGAGAAAAGAAGAGGGAGTTATAACATGTCCCAGTGGGCACGCCTGGCCCAGCTAGCCGTCAATGATTGCGGTTGTACCCAGTTTTCTATCGAAGTAACAACACAACTTTACGGTACCATGGCGCAATATTTTGGTCCTCAGGATGAGCATATTCGAGTCGAAGTAAATGATCATTCTTCCGGTTTGCTCTAACCTCCCCCAGAAGAGTCTCCCGACTCGGGGGCAGAGGAGTCAGAGGAGTATGAGGATAATTTATGTACCCTTTTACTTTTGTTCCTAGATATGATTTTTATACGGATAAGAACGAGTATACATATGACAATCAGATTTATTCACGGAATTTCAACTACAAAATCTCATTTCGAACTTCGCGGGAAAGAAACATGATATTGAACACATCTCTGAATACATTTAAGCGTTGAATGTACATGTAATAAAACTGTAAGGCTCGCTGTTTCAAAGTCTTGAATTTCTCGGCGAGCCCTGATCATCACATGATCGCGTCGTTATCACGTGTACTTATACCCGCGTACTTACATAATCTCTGACTAGGCTTCTGAACTTGAGCACTGAGTACTGAGCAGCGATCTGGGTATAACCTTTCTCTGAAGATATGCCCACCACAGAAGTACTAAACTCCTGCAGCCAGACGAGGTTAAATAGGACCTTCGGTTCTACTAGGGTCGCGCCGTTTACTTTGCTTCACTATACGCGCGATGCGACGATGTCAGCAATGGCGGACGAAGTTCACCAGAAATGCAACGCGATGGACGCCAAGGCTTTTTGGAGAAATTCCTTACAAGTGCTGCTGCCCATATCCCGGATATCAATGCTGCTACCTTCCAGAAGGTTGCGGAGAAGACATCGAAAACCGTAGCAATGTATTTGCCGCTAGTAAGTTGCACCAAATTCTACGTTATTTCCAGATCCTCATTGTGAACTTGCCGTTAAATAGATGCGCTCTCTCCTTTCTGTACGAGTCTGCGGCTTCTGGATTTGCATGCCACTACTGGTTCCCAGTCTAGAGTCTTCAATCATGACTCGTTGAAATCGGAGATCTCAGCATACAAAGCAAAAGATGACATCGATCCCGTAATTCAATTATTCTCATGGAGACCCATAATGAACTCAAGCTCGCCACCACCGGCGACGCGTTCGATGATGAGGGAGAGTTTGAGGTGACTCTCCGCCAAGCCAAGATACCTGAGGCCAGCTCGTGTTATATGTTAATGCACAGATGACCTCTCAATACCGAACTCCAGTGGCAAACACCTTTGGGTCTACTCTTTGATGATGGTTTCGCGCACTGGCACGTGTTCTTTCTTGTTGTCCCAGTACTAAAAGGAACCGTCCTCAAATTCGTCACGCTGTCATAAGTCTCCATGTCGCATGGTGAGTATGAATCATGTCCGTATTGAATCAAAGATCGATTAAATTGTATTAGATACGGTTGCGGTGATGATGCCTGGCTTGTGAAGCAGAACCATGCTTGTAGTGCAAAATCGGGCTCGTATGAGCAAAGAAAGAAGCACAAGCGCTGGTACCGTCATTGTACCCATCATCGCCAATCATTGTGTCGCGGTGCTTTATCGGAATGGGTTTATCAGGTTCGGTAGTGGCGCCGTAGCAGTGAACTCCCATTCTTGGCGACCCCAGACGGATACACCCACGAACCGCGGAGGCCTCTTAATTCGCTACGCCACATTTCGGAGCCGGGAAAAATGATGCTTCAAGGGGAATCTTTGGCTTCTTTTCAAACTGCGTCGTTATAGCAAGAGACAGTACGTTAACGTGACATGATCTTCATAACGATCTGATACACTTCGAAATGATTCGCGTGCTATTCTTAACAACCATAGAAAACCACAAAACTAAAGACTTCCACACCGCGCAATTTACGTCGTACTATCGTGTCCATTTTTTTCCCGCAATTATGCATAACACGTTCAGCCAGCCATTACAAACCACAAGCGGACGCGTCAACTTGGGTCGCGTTAGCCTCCACGCTCCCAATTCCCGCCTGACCAGGTCAAATCATTCAACGCCGCCTCTGACGTGAAAAAGCCGACATCAGCGTGGTCAACCGTCAACACGGTGATATTCCTATCGTTAGAGGTCAACAGCCAGCACGTCCCGCAGTTCGCGCTGTTCCATCCCTCGACTACGTTGGACGATGCGATGTAGGGGAAGCTGGGAAGGGAACCGTATGTAGTGTAGCCCTTGCTCTCTAGACCGTGCTCGCCGTTGGAACAGGCGACGTTGTTTAGAGAGTTGTCGCTGATACCATAGCCAGAATCCCAACCTACGGAGACCGCAAGCGCGTAGGAGGGAATGAGAGCGAGAGCGATGGTAGAGAAAAGCTTCATTCTGAGTGTGTCTTCGGTGGGGTAGGTTTGTACTGAAGATGAAAGGCAGAATTCTCTAGACTTTATAGCCTACGGACGGCCCGCGTTGACACACTCTTGGCCTTTCGCTTGGAGTAATGAATTTGCTAAGATCATCTCGAAGCCAATGGGATGGAAGAGCAGCGCGGCCACAAATCACCGATAAAGATCGCCGTACGTACTGTTGGGGCCCGTGCGACGTAACCTTTGGTCCAGAAGCCAGTCTATAACGCACGAAAGAATACCGTCGCCATGTCAAAAAAAGCCAATATTAACGCTCCCGCGCCGTAAATTTACCAAAGCTTTGGAAATGAGTAGCCAGTGATGTATTGTGGATTGCGCCAGCTGATGGCCTAGGTATCACATATATAGGCAGACTGGTTAGTTGCACTGAAGCCTAAGCCATCACGAAGTGGAAGTGAATCTTTCGCTCAATGGAAATAGAAGCCTGTCAACATGTCATATTACTTTCTATTAACCATCATTCTAAGCCCGCCTAGCTCAATCGGATAGAGCGTCAGACTTTTAAGGCGGGTTGAACAACGTTCAAATCGGCATATCTGAAGGCTGCGAGTTCGACCCTCGCGGTGGGCTAATTGATTTTATATGGATTACTTTTTACCATCTTTCACTGTGAAACAAGTGGGAAGAATGCCAGAAGTTGAGGAATGGTAGAGCTGCCCAAAGAGGAGTAGTCCGATCGTGGCGATCAGAATTTGATCGATCAGGAAAGCAGGTACTTCTAGATTTATCTTGGGGCGAAGTATAATGGAGCATGCGGTTGCTTATTGCTATGAGAACAGATAGGCGTATATGCAGCTTAATACTTCGAGTACCATAGATTCGATTGAATATCGCTTTAGTCGCACACGAATCGCTTAAAAATGGAGACAGAGATTAAATTCTTCCATACTTATGTCAAGTGACAAAACGGCCGCTTTATCCTGTGAGCACTCCGATGCTTGAAACGTCCAGAAAGCTCAAGTGCTACGCTCAAGCTTCAAGGACTGTGTATTGCAGAAGAGGGAACAACTTGGTCATGTACACCTGAGACGGGCGCGGACGGAGCGGACCGCTAATCCGCTGTCTGCAACCCTTCAGCATGACCCCATGCCACGGTCAGCTTATACCTGTACCTCATCCTGACGATGGCAAGCACACCTGTAAGCTGTCTCATTATAGGCGCTGGATTCAGTGGTCTTGTTGCAGCCAGACAGCTCGCTGCAGCCGGTCACTCCGTGCTTATCGTTGAAGCCCGCGACCGCATAGGAGGCCGGGTGTTGTCGTACAAGGAAGGACAGTCATACCCCATCGATATTGGCTGTAGCTTCGTGCATGGATACGCGGAAGGTGTACCTACTAGAAAGCTGTTTGAAGATCTGGGTATCAAGATGACAGTCCCAGCGCCCAAGCTAAGCCTGTTTGTCGGTCCAAACGGTATGACACCCTATCATTCTATGGGGGAAGATATCTAATTTTTAATCTCTATGTAGGCCAGATTTCAGAGGCGCTTGCCGAAAAACTTCGTGGTAATCTTGCTGAAGCTTCCAAGAAAGCAGCCGAAGTCGCTCAAAACGGCGTGGCTGAGGCCCATCTCTCCTTAGCTGACTCACTACTCAGGGAAGGCTCGACGCTGTTCGAAGGGCTCTCCAATACCGAAAGGCCATTAGCTGAGTCTCTGGCCCGCACCTTGGAGTGCGGACTTGGCGCCACTCTTGAACAGATCAGTTTGCAGTGGAACGGATATGAGAATAAATTCGCGGGAACGGATGCCTTTCCTGCAGGAGGATACGAGACCGTCACACAAGCGCTCCTGGATGCATCCGTAGCATCCGGCGCAGAACTTGTGCTTGATGCACCCGTCTTATCTATCTCCCTCTCTGAAAATTCGGATTCCGTCACTGTAAAGACTACATCCGGCGTATCGTACAGTGCTTTGTCTGTTATTTGCACGATCCCGCTAGCCGTGCTTAAGGTGGCCCCATCGTCCTTTTTCTCACCCTCCCTCCCTCCACGCAAGGTTGCCGCCATTCAACGAACGCATGTCGGAACTTTGGCTAAGATTCTCCTCACGTACCCGAAAGTATGGTGGGGGGAGTCGTACGGCGGAATTACAATCCTTCCGGACAGCTATTCGAACACGGCCCCCTCCGACCCGAAGAAACTTCTTTCTTCTATCCCTTTGAGCTGCGCAATCCTCCAGACAACAATACTCATTTACATCAGCTGTGCTGCTGCCCCTCATATTGAGAAGATTGACAAGACCACTGTCGCCAACGCAGCTCATGAAATTCTGAAAGAGAAAATTGGCAAAGACATTGATATGCCTGCGTTTTCCCATTCTACCGTTACTAGGTGAATTATTTCTCTTTTGGTGTTAGTATGCGTTCAGGTGGGCTGATGACCTGCCCCTGAAGCTGGTCTGCTGATCCTTTTACGCTGGGCGCGACGACAACTCCAACCGTTGTCGGAGATGAACGTTCCCCCTTTGATTTCTTTGAATTATCGCGTCCTGTTTGGGGAGGGCGTCTGGGCTTTGCTGGAGAGCACACGGATGTTGATCATCGTGGGAGCGTACAAGGTGCGACCGAGAGTGGAAAACGTGAAGCCGAAAGAGTTTCTCAATTCCTAGCGAGATGAGCTGTAGGTCACGCTAAACCATCGGGTTTAGTATTCATAACTTAGTAAGAAGTCAACTCGATTCAAATTGTACCAACGGCGTCATCGTAGAGTTGTTCAACGGATATGATCCCCCCTACATAACTCACGTACCTGGGAGACATGCACGAACCTAAAGAATTTGTAGTCCACCCAATCAGTTGAGCTGACATCCACGAGGTACCACCAAGATCATTGATAATTTTACATACCACTTTGGCCCCGAAACATTTCAATCACCTTGGGTTGATAATGGAGAAATGAGGGCATGAGTACATTGCGAACGTAGAGAGTACACGGATAACCACCGAAGTCTTTATACAAAACATTGCATCGAAAATGTGTAACATGAACAAGAAAGCATTAGAACATGAATTCATCAAAGAGCGTGATTGTTAAACTCATGAATGCGTAATAAAGCGGAGAGTCGTAAGTGAATAGATAGTTCGATAGCATAACAATAATAGCAATGTTAAGACCGTTGTAATCAAGAAATGGTACAGATGTTGAGAGATGAAGTGAAAGATGAAGACAAATGGGAGATGGTATAGACAAAAGAAACAATGCAACTTATGCATGATGGCGTGCCAATCGTCGGGAAACTGATTTGCCAGGCACGAAGGCCTTGATGGCGCGACGCATCTTTGTGACTGTATTTCGGCTCTCGTCTTTGAGCGCAGGAGTCGAAGGCGTAGCAGGCGTGGTAGCGTATGACATAAAGCCTAGTTCATCGACGGATGCAGCCCGCTTCACATCATCACTGGAAACTGGCGGGGGCATCGGGGTACGACGGATCGAAGAGAATGGCCGAGATGATTTGGGGCGGGTTATACCCTGAACTGTGTTGTGCGCGGGGACCGGATTGTCCGATTGGTATCCCTTACCAAGACGCTTCACGCTAGACGTGGCCATGAGGAAACGATCATATACGCCTTCCAGTCGACGTTGGCTGGGGGAATCGGGGATAGCTATGTTCTGAGTACTAGGTTGACGAGGAGGATACGGTTTCACATGTAATGGCGATGAGGTTAACTCATCGAAAGACCTGCTGATAGGACTCGGAGTAGTAACTTGCTCACTATCGAGTGACTTCATTGAGAGAGCCGCTGTATCGATGAACATGTTTCGATCCAAAGGAGGAGACGGTGCCGATCTTGAGGAGGAAGGGGATAAGGGAGATGACACACGCCTTACTAGCGTCACATCTATCGTCGATATGGGTGCAATGTGCCTCTGTAAAAGATCTGCGTGGGATCTGCTCTTCTCCTTGCGTTCGGAAGGGGTGCCTGATTGGCCAAGGGAAGCTTCTGGGGAGCTAGCCGACACAGTCGCCCTTCGTTTCTTCGTGGGTGTGTAACTCAGGGGTATCTCTTGGTCTACAGGACTCGAGGTGTCTTCGACAGACACGTCATACCCAGATGTAACAAAGGACATCATTGTTGGACTGGGCAGGAGATGATCTAGGTCATCAGCGAAGATCTGATTAGCTGGGAGAACCCGTCTAGGCAATCGTGACGAGCGGTTGCTCCGGTTCTGCGTGGACGGGCGTAAAGGCGCTGGCTTAGGTGTCCCAGGCCGTGATACAACTGGTGGGGGAAAAAAATTCTGTCTCGCATCATCGACAACCTCTGTTGCGCTCGTCAGTGGTCAGTATACTGTTGAAACCACCCACGTACTCTCCACATTGCGCATCCACATTGATATCCTATCTTGATTACCCGTGTTTTGGTTGCCGGGTTCTTCGGTAGATGATTGGACTAGGAGAGCAGGGGTAGAGGCAGAAGCTCCTGCAAGAATTATGAGGATGACTCTTTCTATATGGGAATACTCGACGCACCAGTTAATAGACGCGAGGCATCCCAAGACTCTTCTGCCGTAGGAGAGCGGTCGAGTAAATCAATGGAGCAGCTTGGCCGTTTCCTTCCCGCCGCCTGGCCTAGCGTCGATGACTTGTATATATTTATTGTTTTGTCTATGATTGGTGAGTAAGGAGTGACCGGGGAAAGGACGATCATACCGATGGAGGACTTGATGCTATGTTTGAAAACGTTTAGTGCCGACGTGGAATCCTTCTTGAATAGAAGAGGAGAGCCGAATGATGTATTAGCTTTTAACGGTGGTCAATAAGCGTAGAAACGACCAAAATGAACGGTAAACACACCCGGAATAGATGGTGTGGCCATGCGTGACGGTGGAGGTGTCGGAATGGTTGTTGTTCGATTTTCTTTATCTCCATCACGGCACTTCTGAAGGCGCCCAATAGTTACTCCGCGATGGGTCTCGTGCTCAAGCTCTTCCTCCGAGTCCTCCAAGCGAGAGATTTCTCTCAATTTCTCCCAGTCCTTCACACGTTGATTTACAACGTTTTCCTTTTCTTTGCCTTTGCCCTTTTCTCTCCTACCCACATTAACATTCGCACTAGTCACATCGCCAAGCACCCGTCCTCGATGCGGATTCATTGGAGCGGAGATGGGAAGATTCCCAAGAACGCGCGAAGTTAGTGATATGGGACCCTTAGAATCGGCGTTTCGAGAAATGGCATGCAAAACTGGTTGAGCGGACGGGGATGATGGCGGAGAAGCCTTGATGGGGGACAAATCGGTCAGTGGAGGAACCGGAACGCGCTTCTTGGCATAGGATTGAACTAAAAACAGGCTCAACATATGGCTCTCGTTCAGTTACACAATAAAGCTCACTCTTTGACGCGATCGCCTTGGGCTGAGACTTTGACCTTGCAACGGCACGATGTCCATCTGAATCATCGACCTTCGGCGACTTGGACGAAAATAGAGCTAGGGGGCTCTTCAGGTTCTCTTTGCCCTTCGTTACGTGAGATCGAGACAGTGTGCGATCAAGCAACTTTGACATATCCTTTTCGAAGACAAGGGACGAGGTGTGACTTGAAGATCGTCCTGAAGGAGGTCAATTGATTGGCA